TTGCCCATAAATAGATTAAGCCTAACTTATTTCTGTCCAGGAGATCATTATCTTTGGCACTTTCCCATATGTATCATGTTAATCCCTCAAAATCAGGGGAAACCACCAGAAAGTTATGCAAATCTTTGCTTGAGAGTTTTGCTGGGCTCCTGAGCAAGAAATGAAAGGGCTGCTCAGGGCAGCCCAGGGGGAGGGAGAAATAACTCAGAAGGTGCTTTTGGTCTTCTCTTGTCCTGCAGTGACCTGAGCTGGGGTCAGGTCATGGCAAGCTCCAGGTTGGTACAGCCTGCTCGCCTCTGCTTCCTTACAGCAGATCCACGGGGAGAGGAGAACAAATGGGGCTTCAAGCCCTTCTCCAGCTCCCTCCCCATCCCAAGAGTGAATTCCCACCAAATGGCTCTATTGCTAAAGGTGTCAGCCAGCCCCTTTGGGATGTGACCTCTAATTCAGCCCAAATGCTGTAGAAGTGACGTTGAATAACTTCGGTTTGGGGGTTATCCAAATCATCTTACAACGGATGGGCTTTCAGGAAAACCACAGCAGCGGCTTTCTGCAAACAAAGCTCAAGTCAGATAGTCAAAAATAAAAGTACTTGGAATCACACGTAACATTTAGCAAACCTGGCCAAGAGGGTGACACCCATACACTTGCTGATATTCCAAGCACATCCGAATCCTAAAAGCAAGGACATGGACCACCTGCTCCCCTACTTTTGCACAACCTGTGCTATTATGCAGCTACACAATAAAGGCTGACTTGGCTGCAGCAGCAGGAGCGATAGCACAGGTCAGAGCTGCAGCTGGCACGAATCAGCCAAGCTGCAGTGAAGTAAGCAGGCAGAGCTGTGTGGATTGACACCAGCTGGGGAAACGGGCTTGCCATTTGCAGCCTGCCAGTGAAATACAATTTAGACTGTAAAAAAACCACACTGTTAAATTAAAAATGTGCTGACACCTGCAGCACTTGGAAAGACACTGGATGGAGACACTCCTCACGCCCATAACAAGGTTAAATGCAATTCCCTTACTGATAAGCAATTCATAGATGCCGGCAGAGGCACAAAGGCTGGAGTGTTATATTTTTATGTTGATGATTCAGATGAGTCATCCCCAATCAGAAAGCGCTCATTGCTTTAATGACCGGAACAGGGGAAATTTATTTTAGCAGTGACCGATGCTGCGGTTTATTCTTCTGACCAGGCGCTGTGGGAAGGCTATACTATTAGATATGAATTCATATCCACTTCGAACTGCCTCTCCTGAGAGCAAGCTGTGGTTATCAGCTCCCGCAGTACCCGTGCTGTGCCTCCTACCCCTTTCCACTAGTAGCATTCCGGGTGATTTGCGATGCGGTGCCTGCGGGGAAACGACCAATTCCTATTCTCACCACCTTGCAGCGCATCTCTACTGTCCCTATCACTGGGTCCCCTGGGCACTGCTGCAAACGCACGTGGAAAGCAGCACGGTTACCTGACAATAAGCAGAACCTCATTTAAAAAAAAATAATCAAGATCACAGTCGTGCTCCATGGGTATATGGGGATGGCCATAAAATTCCTGGACACATTTCTACTGGCTAGCAATGTTACTTCACAATTGCCCCAGTCTTGCTGGGAAATGAGCACTTCCTGGGACAGGAGCACAATAATCATGTTAAATGGTCCCAGCTCAGTGCCGAGTATGCAGGTGGCCACAGCTCAATAGCCACCAGCAGCACTGCCTCTTGGCACCCAGCAGTAGGGCACATTGCTCACAAAATATTCAATCCCCTTTTTTAACAAATGGTGGCTTATTATTTTCCTCAAATGGGTAGAGTCTCATAAGTAAAAAACAGGATTATTTTTTTTCTTTACCCACCACACTCCCCTATAAACATTCAGCTGTGAAAAGATTTTTTTAAAAGATGCTGTTTACATGGGTAATAATCCCCCCAAATCTTCCCCTCACCCTGAAGCCAGCCCAAGGAGAGGAGGCCAAGTTTTGCCCCAAGCAGTGGTACAGGAGAGCAGGTCATGACGGAGCCATCACACTTCTTCTTTCCTGCTCCCAGGAGGAGAGAGCCTGCCTGTGTGGATTGCTGCTCCTGCCTCCACAGGTTAAAAAGCTGCATCAATGAAGGAGAAGAATAACTATCATGTGTTTCCTTGAGGAGCAGTGATACAGGCAGCTTTTTTTCTCTAAGGGATGCTTGGGCTGGTTTTTCCACTTTTCTCCAGCTTTGTTCTGTGCAGGGATAAATCAGAGGCCAAGTCTGCTCTGGAGCATCTTTCCCCTCATCCAAAGCTCTCTCAGGCATGTGTGCTGCCCTGGGTGCACTAACCATGGAGCTGCTGAGGCCCACCCAGAAGAGCCTGCAAGGTGCTGCCCTGGAAAGCAGATGGTACGGTTGACAACTCTTTGAGGATGCAAACAAATCCTTGTCCTTCGTTCCATACAGAGTTGCTGGAACCTGTCCATGCCACCACCAGCAAGTTAAATGCAAACAGCCAAAAATACATTGTACAAGAAGTTCAGTCCTACCTGGCCTGCGTTAGGTGTATCCTACAAATGCCCACTGGGCTGCACACATACCACCAGGATTTAGGCAGAGGAAGAATGGATGAGGCACTGGGTCCCAAGCTCAGACATATTCTCCCCAGGAGCACGTTTCCTGGCCCACTTCAGAGCACCCTGCAGCAGGTCTCCTCAGGAAGCCACTGAGCACGGCTGGGCACCTCCAGGGCTCGCCAGGAGCCAGGCAGCACTTACTTGGATCACTGTCTTGGTTGAGAGCACTAGAAGGCCCTGTTCTCTACCACTATGGAGGAAGGTGAGGAGGAGCATCATGAAGGTCTGCACTGCCTGTGCACAGCCAGAAGGAGTCATTCGCTCAAAAGTTTCTCCACACTTTTTCCCCAGGTGGTCTAAGGGGAGATTAAGTTTTCGTTTGCTGTCATGGTTTAGAAAAAGGTGAAGCTACATACATCTTTCGGAAGGAAGGATTGTCTTGTGCAAAGTACAGCTAAAATAGCCCTTCGGACTATTTTGAATGAGGATTTAAAGATGCTGTCTGAAGATCTCACTTAAACCAGGTGGAATTACATAAGCTATATTCTCATAAAAATAAAATATTTTGAGAAAAAAAGCCCATGAAAACTTTGGATCAGTGCAGTGAAAAAGCACCACAGACCCCTCTGCACTTTGATGAGGGTCATGCTAACACCAGTTAGTGAGTGTTAAATACTGTAAACTTTCTCCTCCTTTGCAGTACACAGAAGTCAAAAATCCTTGCCAGATTCCATTAAGAAATTAAAATGGCATTTTTCCAAAGAGAGCACACACACCTTAGAGATGCAGATTTTGGGATGTAGCAGGTACCAAGTGAGAGCATATGACTAAGCAGGATTCATTGCTCCACCCAACCACGTAAGGACAAGATAGTACCAAAAAAAAAAAAAAAAAAAATCAAACCACCCCTCTCTTGTGCAAAGTACAGCTAAAATAGCCCTTCGGACTATTTTGAATGAGGATTTAAAGATGCTGTCTGAAGATCTCACTTAAACCAGGTGGAATTACATAAGCTATATTCTCATAAAAATAAAATATTTTGAGAAAAAAAGCCCATGAAAACTTTGGATCAGTGCAGTGAAAAAGCACCACAGACCCCTCTGCACTTTGATGAGGGTCATGCTAACACCAGTTAGTGAGTGTTAAATACTGTAAACTTTCTCCTCCTTTGCAGTACACAGAAGTCAAAAATCCTTGCCAGATTCCATTAAGAAATTAAAATGGCATTTTTCCAAAGAGAGCACACACACCTTAGAGATGCAGATTTTGGGATGTAGCAGGTACCAAGTGAGAGCATATGACTAAGCAGGATTCATTGCTCCACCCAACCACGTAAGGACAAGATAGTAAAAAAAAAAAAAAAAAAAAAGAAATCAAACCAACCCTGCCCCCTGCTTATATTTAAGGTTATATCTGCAACTCACCGTGCAATGTCTACTACTGCTGCTGCAGCAGTAAGCCAGAGGCTGTCAGATATCGTGCAATGCCCATCACAACCTGAGCTTAGCTCCCAAAAGGACGCAGCATGTCTGTGCCACAGGAGAGCAGTCAGGGGTTTGTGCCCCCTTTCCCTACGACATGGCAGCACCCCCGGTTGAGCAAGGGGTATACCCACATGATGCTCCCCTTCACCACTCTGTCTTTCTGCAGTGCCCAGTTCCCCTGCCCTCACCATAGCCGGGGGGAAAATGTGGGCTGACAAACCACAGTCCCAACTCAATCAGATGGCAAAACTCAAAGGTTGGATTCACAAGGCACATCTAATCAAACTAGATCCCTAAGTACTGAAGAGCTGACAGGCATTAAACGATAAGATCTCCAAAAAACAAACCCCCATCCCAAGCCCCCCAAAATCTGCATAGGCAGTGGAGGGTTTGTACTTGCAATGACCCGTGAAGAGCCGCGACATCAGTCAGGAAGGGCTTTTGAAAGCCACCAGAGCATCACCACATTGTTGGAGGTTTATTCATCCTCCCATCATTTGAAGTATTGAAAGCTTTACAGGTGTGCATTGTTCTCCTTTAGTAGTATGTTGCTTAAGCAAAAATAATATTGAACCTTTGGCTTTTCTTCCACTGAATCCAACCTCCTCAGAAAACAGTTTATACCCATGTTTGATCAGCAGATCTCCCAATACACCAAGAAGGAGAGATGTTTTAGAGACCAATTTTGCTAGCAGTATTGCCAGAAGAAAGAAAGATCAAAGATTCCCTAATGGTAGAGAAGGAGCGAGCTGTCCAAATGTCCCCTCTAATCTCCCAGGAATTTGCATCAAATTGCTAGGTAAGGTTGGGAGAGGAGGGCTCTCCATGCACCAGGAAGGACGTTCTCAAAAATGCACCCATTCAGGAGAAGAGCCAGATCATGGGGGAAGGGAAACCTTGTATCCTGAGAAGCAAAAGTGAAAAAAACCTTTCCATTAATTTAGCTAAAATAATGAAAGCTATACACTCACTCTCTCGTCCGCGCGACCCAGAAGTTCCTGTGCCTGCACATCACGTATGGTCCAACCTTGCCTGCATTATGAGGGAAGTCCTTCAGAGGCAGCGCTAGTCCTGACTTCTGAAGAAGGTGCCTGTTTTACAGGGAGGCAGATGAGCTTTTCTCCAGAAGTAGCCTCACATATCTTCCTGCTGTGCTGTTTTTCCCCTCGAGCAAACACCAGACGCCAGCAGTATGAGAAAATTGCCACCCTTCAGAAACCTCTGAGATCCTTTGTGTTTCTGGTCCACTGACCCATGGCAGAGCGAGAGGGCCAGGGCTGCCCCTGGGACACGCTTTTTTCGGACGTGCAGCTACACCCCAGCAGCTTTAGCTGAAGCACTGGCACAGACAAGCACTGTCCTGAGCATCTCATCTCTCCTTACCCCCATTCTGCATGGATTTAACCAAGTTAGAGTGAATAAATTTTCTCCCAGTTCAGTGTAAGGAAAGTCAGACCTTGTGTATCACCTCGAGGGCACAGCCAGAGCTCTTTCAGTTGTTCCCAAAATACTTTCCCGAGCAGCAGAGGAGCCAGCAAGGACAAGGCAGTGCAGCAGGTCTCTTTATCACTGCACCCCAACAGCTCATCCAGCACAAAACCTGGCTGCCATCACCCCAGCGAGGGTCTGCACAAGAGAAACACGTTAACGCCTGCTCTCCAGTGCCCGTCCTGCCCTTCTCCACCTCGGGTGGGTGGTGGGCACAGCCTGACCCTCTGGCCATCCTGGGTCTGTGACCCATTGGCACCTCTCATGCCACAACTCCAGCTCCTTGTGATTTGGAAGTGGTGAGCAAGAAAACTGCCTGCTGCTCAATTCTTCTGCAGGTCAAGGAAGAAAGGCTTTCTGCATTTGTAAAGTAAAGCAGGCATCAAAGGGGAGCATAAACCACATCACTCACATTTTCTTCAACAGAAGTGATGCCACAGGGCCCTGTACATTAGATAGCTGCGTGGGCTATGCAGCAACTTGCTTGTAGCTTTATAAACTGAAGGGCAAGATCATTAGTACATGAGGTTAGTACACGAGGTTAGTACACACAGGATATCTTTCTTCTCTGATCACAACCAAGCAGAAGGAAACGAAATCTTGAGGCTTAGGAACAGAAAGTACAGAAAAGTCAGCCTAAGAGTGGTTTTACGCCACCCGGAGCCAGTGTTTTCTGCCAGGTTCTTCTTTGCTTGGACACACACGTTTCATGGGAGAAAAAGCAAAAGGGCATGAGCTGAGTCAGAGGATGTGAACATCAGACAGGGCGCTCGGCATCTGAAACACCTTGAAGCAAAGGTACAAGCTGTGATTATTTTCTTCCAGGAAACATTGACCAGCTCCTACATGCAAACAGCCGTAACTGATCGATTCCATTTAACCCAATGTTTTCAGTGGCCAGAGCACACGTTTAGGGACCACCAGTAGGAAACACCATGCCAAGCTAAGGAGCCTTTGCACAGCCTCAGCTACCAGCAGCCACAGCTACAGTAGGCACTCCCTGCACAGCACCACATGTTTTTAGACAATTCCCTATGCCTTGCTGAAATTGGAAACACCACTGATCTATGTGAATTAAGAACATATTAAAATGATCAAGGCATTTCCCTAACCAAAAACACGCATAGAAAAGCAAACACAGAGGTAGCACTGGGTAAGCATCACTCCAGTTGGGAGTTCCTGCTTTGTGGTGGTGCTGAGCCCGCTCATTCAGTATCACACAGCACTTCTGGACTGTAAAAGCATTGAAAAGACCACGACCACAGATTTTTGTAGGGCAGCATCACTGTTGCAGCTGGTGCTGGGTTCAGATCCACCCCATAGAGCATCTCACATCGCGCCTCTCCCTGCCGCACCTGAACCCCGCCTGCTGGGCTTTAGCAGACAGTCTCTGCTCAACTGGTTGACACGAAAATCCCATTTTTACCAAAAAATCAATAACTAATTCTCCTCCCTTTCAAATAAAATTGGCTCTTGTTTAATACCTACCTGGAGTCGGTGTCCCAAGCTGCCTGCAGACAGGATGAGTGCATGCCAGCGACGCGTGGGGGTTAGGAACTGGCTGTGCTGACCTGGGGGATGAGCAGCCTTGCCTGCAAGCATGAGGCTTAACTAGAGTTGTCTTGGGCTCCAGTTATGCAAATTCAGTTAATCAGCACTTAAATCCTTACCTCAGAGCAGGGCCTGCAACACCAAAGTGAGGAGGAACACAGCGAAACAAAGCTTAAAGCAGAGAGTCTCCTGCTGGGCTGCTCCGTTCTTCAGGGCAAGTCCTTCTCTTCTTTATCTATATCAGAATCGTGTGTTAACAGTAACTTCCTCACAGCAGGGACTTCGTCTCTCACTTACCTAGAAAACCTCTCACAGAGTTCAGGCGTGATGTAATTAAAGGCAATGATAATAATAATTAATTGATTTTGAAGTTACCATCCATCTTCAGCGTGTTTAATCAATGACAGAGACAGACCCTCCCAGAAGTGCCAGAGGCTGTAGCTCCACCTAATGATATTGCTAAAAGCCAACCTCAAATGCACGCTGGACAAGATTAATTGTGGTAGATAGGCTGTCAGCACTCCAGTCAAACTTTTATTGTCAGTCATCTGGAGACATGAGACCAAGGCTACTGAAAAAGGCAGAGCTGGAGAATATATCAATAAATTGTTCATGTGGTAAGTAGCCAAAGGCAGCGATGGGGAGAGTAATATTGAAGTGTAGCCCAAGAGTTTCATACCAGTCCACTGAAATAAACGCTTTGATGATTCACAATATCTATACTGCCAGCCAGAAAGCCCAGCCCCTCAGCATATTGTCCTATATTTTTTTTTGTGAGGGAGACAGAGATTTATCAGTCGTGCAAGTTCAGCAGAAGCTTCAGGAACCAGCTCTCTGAAGTTGGACTGAGGACTGGCTGACAGCTGTGATTGTGAAAAGCACACCCACACAACCTGAGGGCTTTCTGAGAGCCACGAAACATTTTTATTCTACACCACCAGCTCCCAGACTGGCCGGAAAGAAAGAACCTTCTTGTACTACCACCTCTGAAGAGGGGAACCGTTGGACAATAAAAGCTCTGTCCTTCTGTCACCATCTATAAAATTTCCACCTGTAAGAAGTTCTGGTAAAACTGTGTGTAGGGGGAGCAGAGATGTTGTGCCTCGGCAGTGCCTGTTGGCCGTGCCGGGATGCTGTGGGTCAGTGGGCAAGGAGCTGCCCCTGGCACCCTCCCCACCACGCTCACCAGCCCTGCCGCTCACCCAGCTCCTTCACTCTGCCCTCCTCTTCCTCACCTGGGAATTTTATACCTGTATTTATACTTATACGCACCTTTTAAGCGTGCACATGTGGACGTTTTCTCCACGCGCCGCATATTTTTGTTACTTTAGGCATTTCTTTTCCTCCCAGGCAAACAAGCCTTCCCAGTTTTTTTGAATTCCCTCCCACTCGAAACAATAGGCTGGACATGGAGTGAAACTGTCCCTCCTTAAATCAGGCTGCCACACATTCCTCTTGCTTTAAATAAGGGGCTATTGCTAAACTCATAATTTCCATTCTTTCTTGGTCAACAAGCAAGCCTGAAGCCCATGCTGGTTCTCAGTCAGGACTGGAAAAGCAACCTCTGGTGCCTGTACTTTTCCTGTTGCCTGCAATAAGCCCTACTCAGTCCAGAGGTGAAAGCATCACAAGCAGATGGTGAGGTGACCTTAATCCCAGTGTTTGTAGAAGGGTTGGGATTCACTACCAGGATGTTTTAAGAAACTACTCTACTCTTTTGCTTTTGCAGGTTCCTGGCTGAACCTACGCCTTCTCATTATTGAAAAGCAAACGTCCTCAGAGAATGGGTTGCTGTTTAATGAAAAGCTGATAGCTAAAAATACGGACAAAAACATTTTGGAAGACCCAAATTTACTATGGGAGAGCAGTACTCTACAAAAGGCATGAGTTTGGAAAAGCCATCGTAGCAGACGTACCAGCACTGTGAGTACATTTGAGCTCTATTAGCTTCCTGGAGAGCCATCCTGGGCAGCCTCATGCCACCTCCAGGCTCAGCCCACACTGCCCTTTGCAGACACATCCCAACCCAGCAAAGTCCAAGAACTCCTCCTTGCTGACTCCCAAATCCCTCTGTCACACGCAAATGAAGATGCTCAAGTGTGAGATGCCAAATGCTTCATCTTGCTAAAGTGAGATCCACGTGCCAAGCAGCAGGTCTGTTTTATTTATAAACTTGTATATAGTTATAACACACATTTTCCCCAAGCGGTGGCATTACTCGTCCATGCCATTCATAATGCAATGACTAACAGATTTACTAATTTTAAGCCTACTTTGTTTGTACCACACTAGGAAATGGAAAATGTGAATTCCTGTTGTTCAACTCTTGCACCAGATATAGTACGTTATTCCTTTTGTTTGGAAAGTTCAGTTTCCAAACACCATCCGTTACTCAAACTGTATTAATACAACAAATTCACCATCCAAATAGTTTCCAGTAGGTCTCACCAAGAGGATGTTGTTTTTCTTGTGTTACGGCTGGTGACACTCATGTCAAAAAGCTCCACTTGGCCTCACCTTTTATCCCCAGTCCTTTTAAAAAAAATAAGCAGGATTCTTCTCTGTTTTAATCACCAGTGATTTGCTACCTGCAAGCATCACGGAAGCTTTCTAGTCAGCCAGAACCACTGGAAACTGTCCAAATGTTTTAGAGTCTTAGTCTTGGGTGTTTTATGTGAACCAAAAGTATTTGGTTTGAGTATTGCAAACCATTGCAGGCTGAGTCCCCAAGCTGCCTGTCCCATTCTGCACCACCCAAATTGCTGCTCGACTGCTCTGGGAGGTCTTCCTCTGTGGTACATTAATGGGAAAAGGCAAAGTGATTTGGGATCCTGCCCAGTGAGTGTTTGGGAAGCACCACGCACCCCCCGATACACAGGGCAGAGCGAGCTGCTCTGGAGGCCGTGCCTTATGGGGTGCCTGTGGCCCCCCTGCTCCCAGTTCTGGCTGCAGGAGGCTCTCACCAGCTCAGACCCCACGCTCCCTCTGGAAGGCTTAGTACCATCACCCTGTGACCAAAGGCAGGTGGCCCCATGATTGTCCTTGTCGCTTTAGCGTTTCTCATCCTTCATAAAATCTAATAACACTTCTGATGGCAAATTAATTAAACATGTTGACAGCCAAGATTTAGTTGTTGGAGATGTGACAACCTCTTGAAAAAAGTCAAAGCGTACCCTAAAGTAAAGCTTTCTAGGACAAAGAAGTAGCATGAAGATTATAATTTTGCTTACTCTATCATACCTAATTTCATCCTGCACTACATCTCAAGTTCAAAATTAACCACTTTCCACAGAAGAGAAAAATGTTCCCATGGTTTGTTTTCTTTTGAATCTCATCCAAAAACTCATGCACACAATTATTTCAATAGGTGTTCATGATCTGAATGTTGCTGCATCATACTAGTGAATAAACTAAAGCATCGAAATTCCTTGAAAGTATCAAGAAACAAAATTTAAATTGATGCAGTCACTCTAATAAAAATGACAGAGCGAGTACCTATCTTGCAGATGGAAAAACAACCAAGATATCAACCCTTTCCTTTTTAATTAAAGCTGTGACATCCAAACCCTCAAGTTGGAGCGGGGTGCCCTTTGGCCAGGTGCCCTGCGAATGCATCCCCACAGCTCCCTCCCCAACACACAGCCAACAAAATCAGTGATGCTCCCCATCCTTTGCACCTCGTCACCTGATGCCCCACAAGACACTCTGCTCCTGCGCGTGAGTCCCTCCCCTCCATAAAATACGTCCCTGGTGAACAGGGGCTGCCCAGACCTCCCCTGTTCCTGCGGTGGCAGCAGTACAAGTGGGTCTCAGCAGAGGTGGCTTTGTCTCTGTGAGCAACCTAATGGTTGCTGAAGGGCAGATTCATGGCCAGGGAAACCTGTTTTGCCTCCACCCTCCTCTCCAGCGTATGCAGTACTTTGGATGGGAAGGACTGGAGAGGTTCTGCCAGGACTTCCAGTCCCTGATGCTCAGGAGAGCCCCACGCCTGCCTGCTTCTGCCAGATCCAGAGGCCACTGTGCCACCACTTCTGCCATGGGCTGCTCCCAGGCAGCACCACACAGCACTGCAGGAACTCACAGCAGCATCCTCACTGACAAGAGGAGCCTCCGTACTCAGAGGGAAAAACTGATGGCTATGAGTTTTCATATGCTTGGTCAAAGGCAGTTTTTGTTATTTTTGTAGGTTTTGGAAGTAAAGTTAGGTTTTGTGTTAGTTTTGGTTTGGTTTGTTGTTTTGTTTTGTTTTTTAAATAAAGATCAATGTCAAATCACCTTGCAAACATTTACACATGTAGGAAAAAGCATCACACACACACCCTCTGCCCCCCCCAAAAAAAACCCCAGTTGGAAAAGCCCTCACAACCAAAAAAACAGAATAAGGTATGTGCCAGGTGAAGTAACAGCACAAGTCACTAAGCAGACATTGCAGTAGTACAAAATTCATATTTTAGCCTACTTCTAAGGTCACCTTTCTGTATGTTTTTTTTCTAAAACTAAACCAGTGGATATCAGGAAGGAAAAGGTCATCTGCTTAGGGTAATGATATTAAGGCCAAGACCAAATACAAGCACTGATGAGGTTGCAGATGCCCACACTGCAATACCCCACATCTAAGATTGCTGGTGATGGCAAAAGAATTTCACCTTTTAACATCTTCTACCACAGGCTAGGTCAAGTTGGTGTATGTTAATCCCAATGCTGAGGCAACACAGTCCCAAGAGCTGCTGCAATTATGCCCAAGTGCTTTTCTGTGACTTAGTCCTCCTGTTTAGAGGTTTCCTTTCTGCTGCATGGCCATCAGAGAATCATAGAATGGTTTGGGTTGGAAGGTATCTTAAAGATCTTCGAGTTCCAACCCCCTGCCATGGCCAGGGACATCTCCTACCAGATCAGGTTGCTCAAAGCGCCATCCAGCCTGGCCCTGAACACCTCCAGGGATGGGGCATCCACAACTTCTCTGGGCAAGCTGTTCTAGTGTCTCACCACCCTCATAGTGAAAAATTTCTTCCTGATATCTAATATAAATCTACCCTCTTCCAGTTTGAGGCCATTACCCCTTGTCCCATCACCACACGCCCTTGTAAAAAGTCCCTCTACAGCTTTCTTGTAGGTGCCCTTCAGATACCGGAAGGCTGATACAACATCTCCCCAGAGCCTTCTTTTCTCTAGGCTGAACAACCATCAGATTTTACAGATTATAACAGTTTTTCACCTGGATTTAATTTCTGAGTTTCTGCATTCAGCACAGGCTCAGTGAGAGCTACCTTGCTGCCAGTAGGCAGGACACCCAGCCAAATAGAGGTCACAGCAAGGCAAAAGCAACTGCCGACCAAGGAGACATGGCACAACCAAGCTTTCCGAACAGAGACAATCCTTTTGCCCTCTTTGTACAAGAGGAACCCCAGGGAGGACACCAGGCAGTTGAGTACCCCCAAGCAACAGCAAGGACCCCTGACACCACACTTGTACAGATTGGTCCAGTAGTCTGAAAAACACAAAAATTGATGGTTTGTGGTTGTTTGTTTTTGTTTTTTTCCAAAGCCCTGACTGAGCTGGGTGCCTATGCCACCTGCCACAAGGCTTGTCTCCTTCACCTAAAGGACAGCCCTCGGGCACCGGACAGCTTGCAGACAGCTAGAACACCTAATACCAGCCAGATGCGTCAAACCGAAGCTTCTGTTTCTTTCCAGGTGGGTCAGAATTTACCTACCTGCCTAAAGAGCAATCACCCAACAAAGCAAGCTGCATTCAGAGTGCAAATAATTGGAGGGATTTTTCCAGCTAAAAATGGGAAAAAGCGCTACCCCTCCCTCTTCCCAACTCCACCCAGAGCAAACCGAACACAAAAGCCTTCTGTTCAGTTTTCGAAGTAAAAATCCCCTGGCATTTCAGTTTGTTTGATAATATGCCGTTAACTGAGGTTAAAACTGTGGAAATATGTTGATTTGGAACACAAAGACTCCAAGCATGTGTCTATCACCATTTCTGTGGTTCCACATGCATAGGGACATCTCTTCTGCTCCATTCTATGTACAAACAAGTAACTATAAAGAAAAGAAAAAAAAAGAAACAAAGATACAGGGTAATTCCCATTAAGATGCTCCCAGTACACTCCTTCACCTGGCAGTCAGGAATTGCAGCTGAAGGTGAAAAGGAGGCAAGAAGTTCTGCGGCTCTAACTCTGACCCTTTGAAGTGCTAAGAAACAAAGGAAATGGATTTTCCCTAGTTGGAAAAATATTTGGGTGAAATTATCCAGATATCTTTTTAATTCCATTTTTAATGGTCACAGAACTGGATTGCACGGGTGGGAAGAACAGGA